TTCAGTGAGCAAAGAGGGTGGGCTGCAGGTGTCTGGTCACGAGTTTTGATTACCATCTCTCCACCTTCAGTGAGCTAAGAGGGTGGGCTGCAGGTGTCTGGTCACAGGGTTTGATTACCGTCTCTCTGGCTTCTAAGGTCACAAGGACCTTCTAGATAATTAAAATTATTGCCTAATTAGATTTGGGCTTTTCTTAGAACATCGTGTCAGTGTTTTGGGTAATTTCCTATTGTTTCTGTGATCTACTGCACTGGCAGATCTACATTCCAGCCCACAAGGTAGTCAGGTCTGATGTGCCTAGTTGGTTGAGTGAAGGTCTTATACTGATGAGAAAGACATCTGAACACTTACCCTATTTTAATTTAAACTGCCTGCAAGAAACTTATCTATGTCTAACCTGCATTGAATAACCTGCCTCACTCTCACCTTTTAGAATCTCCAAGGTCTATTATTCCACTCTGTATGTTGATGTATAAACATTGTTTAACCCCCACTTCTAAGTGAGTACATTAAATATTTGACTTTCTGTTTCTAAGTCATTTCACATAACATAGTGGCCTTCAGTTCTAGCCATGTTGCTATAGAAGATAGTATTTTATTCTTTTTTTATGACTGCATAGTATTCCACAGTGTATGTGTAATATATATCACATTTTCTTTATCCAGACATCTGTTGATGGGGACACTTAGGTTGATGCCATGACTGCTATTATGAATAGTAAACATACAAGTGCAGGTACCTTAGCTGGGCATGGTAGCGCGTGCCTGTAATTCCAGCTACTTGGAAGGCTGAGGCGGAAGGATCACCGGAGCCCAGCAGGTCGAGGCTGCGGTGGCCAGGAGCGGCCACTGCACTTCAGTCTGGGCGAGAGTGAGACTCCAACTCAAAAAAAACAAAACAAACAAACAAAACAACAACAACAAAAAACAAGTGCAGGTACCTTTTTTCTTTTTAGTACTAGGATTGCTGGATCCAATGCTGGTTCTGTTTTTAGTTCTCTGAGAAATCTCCATACTGTTTTCCATAAAAGTTGTATTACATTTCCATCAGCAATGTATTGGAGTTCCCTTTTCTCCACATCCTTAGCAACATCTTTTTTTTACTTTTTAATACTAGCCACTCTGACTGTTGTAAGATGGTGTCTCATTGTGGTTTTGATTTTCATTTCTCTGATGATTGGTTGTTATGTCTCTTAAGTTTTTCTTAACCTACAACAGTCCCCCCACTTGTGGCTCCTCTCCTTGCCCTTTGCTTTTTAATCAGGTAGTACCAACATTTCTTGCTTCTTGCAAACATCCAGTCAGTTGAAATGCAGATTGTCTCAAGTTCAGTACAAGTGATGTTGTTTAGCATTTATTCATGTTTGTTGGCTACTTGTATGTCTTCTTTTTTAAAAAGTCCATATTCTTTGTCCACTTTTTTTTTTTTTTTTTTTGAGTTGGAGTCTCACTCTGTCACCTAGACTGGAATGCAGCGGCTGCTCCCAGCCATGCAGCCTCGACCTGCTTGGGTCCGGTGATCCTTCTGCCTCAGCCTTCCAAGTAGCTGGAACTACAGGTGCACGCTACCACACCCGGCTAATTTTTGATTTATTGTAGAGATGAGGTCTCGCCAAGTTGCCCAGGCGGGTCTCGAACCCGCGGGCTCAGGCAATCCACTCACCTCGGCCTCCTAAAGTGCTGGGATTACAGGCTGAGCCACCGAGCCTGGCCTCTTTGTCCACTTTTTAATGGGGGTTATTTTGTTGTTGTTGCATTTGTGTTCCTTGTAGATCCTTTGTCAGATGCATAGTTTACAAATGTTTTCTCCCATTCTGTAAGAAAATTCTTTTTAATGACAAAGTATTTAGCCTTCATGATATACTTAAAAGTATCCTTTATATTTTTAAAATTCTGTGCATTGTCAGGAAGGAAGAAGGAAGTCAGGCAAGCTAATTTAAAAACAAGATAAACAACTCTGGTCTGTAATAGGAGAGGGGAAAGTTCTTTGAAGCAGTATGTTTTCATGTTGCTTTTCTTTAAATACAAGTTTTTTTAATTATGAAAGTTTTCAAACATATACAAGAATAGAACAAATTTATAATCCCAATTCAATATCAAGATTTGCCCCATTTATTTTGTCTTTGTTTTTGTTTTTGTTCTTTGAGTTGGAGTTTCACTCTGTCGCCTAGGCTGGAGTACAGTGACATGTTCACGGCTATTGCAGCTGTGATATTTTAGGTTCAGACAATCCTTCCCCTCAGCTTTCCAAGTAGCTGTGACTGCAGGCGCATGTCACCACGCCTAGCTTATTTTTTGATTTACTGTAGAGATGAGGTCTCTACATGTTGCCCAGGCAGGTCTCAAATCCCTGGGCACAGGCAGTCCTCTTGTCTCTCTGCCTCTCAAAGTGCTGGGATTATAAGTGTGAGCAACCGCTCTTTGCTTTGCTTTGTCCCATTTAAAATTTTCTTTGCTGAAATGTTTTTTTTTTTTTTTTTTGAGTTGGAGTCTCACTCTGTCGCCCAGACTGGAGTGCAGTGGCTGCTCCCGGCCACCGCAGCCTCGACCTGCTGGGCTCCGGTGATCCTTCCGCCTCAGTCTTTCAAGTAGCCAGAATTATAGGCATGCACTACCATGCCCGGCTGGTTTTTTGATTTATTGTAGAGATGAGGTCTCGCCTGCCCAGGCGGGTCTCGAACCCATGGGCTCAGGCAGTCCACTCACCTCAGCTTCCCAAAGGCGCGGGATTACTGGCTGAGCCACCAAGCCCGGCTAGCTGAAATGTTTTTAAGTGAATGCTGGGCATCATATCATTTTATCCCTGCTTACTTCAGCGCATCTCTTCCAATAGCGTGGACATTTTCTTTCCTAACCACAATGCCATTGTCACCTCCAGTTCCTAGTCTGTAATCTGTTTTCCCTTGTTGTCTCCAGTATATATTTTTATCTTTGACTGGGTCAGGATCCAAACAATTTCCTCTCATTTTATTTGGTTGTTATGTCTCTGAAGTTTTTCTTAATCTACAGCAGTCCTCACTTGTGGCTTTTCTCCCCTTGCCATTGACTTGTAATAATCTAGTCAGTTGACATGAGATTGTTCCAAGTCCAGAATTTAGCTGATAGCTTCCCTGTGGTATCATTTAACTATCACTCTCATTTTCTATAAACACACTTTGGACCCTTTTATACTCTTAAAGTAAAAGAGACCTCAAAGAGCTTTCAGTTATGTGGGACTGTATCTACTGCTTTTACTATATTAGAAATTAAAACTGAGAAATGTTAAAAATATTTATTTACAGATTCATTTAATAGAACAATAATGAACCCATTACTTGTTATTGTAAAAACACATTTTTAATGGAAAATAGCTATATGTCTCCAAAGAAAAAATAGTGAGAAGAGTGGCATTATTTTACATTTTTGCATGTCTCTCATGTCTGTCTTAATAGAATAGACTTCTCATATCTGCTTCTGTATTCATTACCCTGTGAACACATACACCATGTAGCCAAGCACATTTGGAAAATTCTACTATATGTGCATGAGAGGAGAATGAGAGTAAAAATGGCAAATGATATCTTGGTGTTATGTGAATGGTTCTGACCTTGTGGACTACCTGGTTAAAGGAGTTCTTAGATCACAGTTTGAGAATCAGCTGCCCCAGATGCATGATTCAGGGTCCGAGTTTTTGGTAAGAATACTTCATGGTGCTGTATGCTTCCTATTTTATCCTAGTATGCACACCGTATCTAGTCATCTCATTTTTTGATTCTAGGATTCATTGGTGTGCTTGGGTGAGACATTTTGCTTTTTAATCAGGTAGTACCAACATTTCTTGCTATTAGTGTAATAGTTGTAAGTGTAATAGTTTTACCTTTTTTCCCCCCCTTAATCAGAATTTCACCCTGTTGTCCAGGCTGGAGTGCAGTGGCATGCTCATGGCCACTGCAGCTTCGACCTTCTAGGCTCAGGCAATCCTTCCACCTCAGCCTGTCTACAGGTGGAACTACAGGTGTGTACCACCACACTCAGCTAATTTTTCTTGATTTGTTGTAGAGAGGAGATCTCACCAAGTTGCTCAGACTGGTCTCAAACCCCGGACTCAGGCAGTTCTCTCGTCTTGGCCTCCCAAAGTGCTGGGATTATAGGTGTGAGCCACTGTACCCTGCCAGTTTTACCATTTTTATTAGTGTTTTGTGGTGTTTTCAATTTTTCCTAATTAATAGGAGGAAGATACCTTCAATATCTTATTTTGAATTCCTTTGTGCCCTTTGACATTTTCCAAGTGTTCACTTGTATTATCTCTTAACAGTTTCTTTTGAACCCATACCTAGTTGATTTTGTGATGATTTTTGAAATAAATTTGGACAAAATCTTTGAGAAAGGCTTAAAATCTCTATCACTTACTCACTATAATATTTTGTCTGTTCTGTGTGGCTTTTTGCCTTTGATTATACTGGCTTTTATATATTGAAGTAATTTTGATATTAGATGTCTAATCTGGTGATCTTTTTTTTGTTAAGTCTGGACTTCTATGAAAATGGAAGAAGAATAGCACCAGAATTTGGAAACTTATGGTTAAAAAGGACTACAGGAGTCAGCTGCTCTGCTCCTTTGTTTGACAAGAAAAATGAGAGCTGAGGAAAGCTATGATTTCTCCATCTTCACACAATTAAGTGACTCTAAAACCGGAACAGAGACTGACTTATCCAAGCCTTTTTTCCCACTCATTCTGCCACCATCTCATAAGCACCTTATGGAATGAGAATGTAGGACTTTGTTTTTTGGTTGAAAAATCAAAGACTTTTAACTGTCTTACCAGGCATTATGTACTTTGTGGAGGCTTGCTTCTTATTACAATACACTTGCAGCTGTTATACTGAGCGGGAAAAGTACTATTACTTATTCATTTTTATATACTTTAAAATTTAGAACCACTTGGTGAATTTAAAGTATTGTTGCCTTCTTAGTTAGAGTAAAAATGATGATCTGATTTTGGCCACTATTTTGCCTAACAGGAAGCCTGCAGACCTGCAGAACTTGGCTCCCGGTACCCACCCACCATTTATAACTTTCAACAGTGAAGTCAAAACGGATGTAAATAAGATTGAGGAATTTCTCGAAGAAGTATTATGCCCTCCCAAGTGAGTATCAAAGAAAATGTGCATGGAAATATTGCCACCTCTTTGAAGCTTTGTCTTATTTGTCCTTAGAGACCTTTCTCCTGATGGTACTTCAGTTAAATTCTCACAGCATTAGTTTGGAATAACCAGGACTCTCTTTTATGTTTCTTATAATTAATGCTACATAGATGTAAGAATTGGCTTCAGGCTAGGCCAATAAACCATACTAAGAAAGGTCGGAATCCTTCTGAGCTGTGGAGTACATGGTGAAAGCAGATATGAGCAATAGGTCAGGAAAGGCTGCTTATTTGTGGGTGGTGGGTCCCAAATTGAGAGAGAAATTTAGGGAGGAGACAGGGTGGGGAAAGACACATTCCAGCTGAACCCAGTCAGAATGTCTAAGCAGGGGTGTGGTGCAGGCTGCTATGTGGTTTGCTCTTAGTCCCTTTGAAAGGTAACTTTCCAAAGCTACAAACTGTTGTAGCTTTAGAATGGACTTTTCAGACTGTAACCCTGGTATTCAGAGTTTTTTTGAGTTGGAGTCTCACTTTGTCCCCCAGGTTGGAGTGCAGTGGCACATTTATGGCCACCCTAGCGTCGAGGGTCGCTGGACTCCAAAGGTTCCTTTCACCTCAGCCTTCTAAGTAGCCAAAACTACAGGCATGCACTACCACACCCACTAATTTTTGATTTATTGTAGAGATATAAGGTCCCGCCACATTGCCCAGGCTGGTCTCGAACCCGTGGACTCAGGCAGACCGCTCACCTCGGCCTCCCAAAGTGATGGGATTACAGGCTAAGTCACTGAGCCCGGCCACTAGGATTCAGTTTTTTATCTACTTTTTATCTTTGAGGTGTTCCAGATTCCCTGGTCCTGCAATTATTGTAATGATAGTTACCTAAATTGCAAATATGCAGTTTTGCATCATCCTGTAGTTTTACCATAGGTCCAAAGCATTATTTTGTTCTTTAGGTTTTTCTAATTTCATTATTCTGGAAATTGACGTATTTCTTTTCCTCTGACCCACAGCTTTTTATAAAGCTAGTTAACTTGACTTTTACCTTCCACGTCCAAATGTTTTCATAGGAATGGGATTATTGGGTCAGAGAGTTCTGTGGTTACCTCGAAGATATTGTGTGTTTGTTTCTAGACCACCACAGTAAAATGAATATTACAATAAAGTGAATAAATAAAATTATTCTTGTGAACAAATTTACAAGAATGTTTTTGGTTTCCTTGTACATTTAAAAGTTATTTTTACATTATACTGTAGATTATTAAGTGTGCAGTAGCATTGTCTTAAAAATGCACATACCTTAAGTTAAAATTTCTTTATTGCTAAAAAAAAATGCTAATAATTATCAGAACCAGCTGGGCTCGGTGGCTCAACCTGTAATCCTGCGCCTTGGGAGGCTGAGGTGAGTGTATTGCCAGAGCCCGCGGGTTCGAGACCTGCCTGGGCAGCGAGACCTCATCTCTACAATAAATAAAAAATCAGCCAGGCGTGGTAGCGCGTGCCTATAATTCCGGCTACTTGGAAGGCTGAGGCAGAAGGATCGCTGGAGCCCAGCAGGTTGAGGCTGCGGTGGCCGGAAGCGGTCACTGCACTCCAGTCTGGGCAACAGAGTGAGACTCCAACTCAAAAAAAAAAAATCATCATCATCAGAACCTTCTGTGAATACCAGGCTTTTTGCCAAGGAAGAGTCTTGGCTTGATGTTGATGGCTACTGACTGATCAGGAAGATGGTTGTTGAAGATTGGGATGATGGTAGCAGTTTCCTAAAACAAGACAATGATGAAGTTGCTGCATTGATTGACTCTTTCTTTCATGAAAGTTTCTGTACCACATGTGATGCTGTTTGCTATAGCATTTTACTTCTTTGGTAGCATTGCACTTCTTTCAAAATTAGAATCCATCCTCTGAAACCCTGCCACTGTTTCATTAACTAAGTTTATATAATATTCTAAATCTTTTGTTGTCATTTCAACAGTGTTCACAGCATCTTCACCAGGTGTAAATGCCATTTCAAGAAACTACTTTGTTCTATAAAGCAATTCCTCGTCTCTTCAAGTTTTATCATGAGATTGCAGCAATTAGTCACATCTTCAGACTTCAATTCTCTTTTGTTTTGTATTGTTTTGTTGAGTTGGAGTCTCACTCTGTTGCCCAGGTTGGAGTACGGTGGCACCCTCATGGCTATGCATCCTTCACCTGCTGGGCTCATGTGATCCTTCCGCCTCAGCCTTCCAAGTAGCTGGAATTATGTATTCACGTACCACCATGCCCATCTAATTTTTTGATTTATTGTAGAGACGAGGTCCCATCAAGTTGCCCAGGCTAATCTCGAACCTCTGGGCTCAGGCAGTCCTCTCGCCTCTGCCTCCCAAAGTGCTGGGATTACAGGTGTGCGCCATCGCGCCCGGCCTAGGTTGTACTTCTGATTCTTCTCTTGCTGTTTCCACTGCATCTTCTTTTACTGGAGTCTTGAGCCCCTTGCAGTCATCCATGAGAGTTGGAGTCAACTCCTTTCAAACTCCTGTGAATGTTGCTATTTTTCCTCCCTCCGTGAATCACACATGTTCTTTCTTAATGGTATCTGGAATGATGACTCCTTTCCAGAAGGTTTTCAATTTACTTTGCCAAAGTCCATCAAAGGAATCATTATCTATGGCAACTATAGCCTTAGAAAATGTATTTCTTAAATAATGAGACTCGAAAGTAAAAATTACTCCTCAATCCATGGGCTGCAGAATGAATATTGTGTTAATAGGCATGAAAACAACATTAATCTCTTTGTACATTTTTGTCAGAGCTCTTGGGTGACTAGATGCATTGCCAATGAGCTTTTTTCTTGTTGTTGCTGTTATTTGTTTTTTTGAGTTGGGGTCTCTCACCCAGCTTGGAGCTCAGTGGCACAGTCACTGCTCATCGTAGCCTTGACCTCCTGGTCTCAAGTGATCCTTCTGAAATAGCACTTTTAATTTTCTCAAAGAACTTTTCCTTTGTATTCACAGATTGGCTAACTGTCTGGCACAAGAGGCCTAGCTTTTGACCTGTCTCAGCTTTCAACATGCCTTCCTCACTAAGCTTTTTCATCATTTTTAACTTTGGATTTCAAGTGAGAGATGTGTGACACTTCCCTTCACTTACCTAGAGGCCATTGTAGGGTTATTATTTAGCCTAATTTAAATATTGTTGTGTCTCAGGGAACAGGGAGCCCAGAGGAGAGGGAAAGAGATGGGGGAACGGCCGATAACAGGAGCAGTCAGTGATCACAGCATACTGTATCGATTAAGACCAACAACATACTATATTGATTAAGTTTTCTACTTTATATGGGTGTGGTTCATGGCGTCCCGAAGCAATAGTAACATCAAACATGACTGATTATAGATCACCATAGCAGATATAATACTAATGAATAAGTTTGAAATATTGTGAATTACCCAAATGTGACAAAGATATGAAGTGAGCACATGCTGTTGGAAAAATGGCACCAGTAGACTTGCTTGAAGCAAGGTTGCTGTGACCCTTCAATTTGTAAAAATAAAAAGCAATATCTGAGAAGCACAATGAAGCAAAGCACTATAAAGCGAGGTTTGCCTGTAAATTACTCAATGTCCACCCATCCATCCATCCTGCAAGCAGATATTGGGGCACAGAGCCCTGTGTATACAGTAATAAGACACAGTTCCTGCCCTCAACAAGCACAGTCAAGTATGGGTGGTTGTGCTCAAACCTGGGAAAGTGAGTAAAATCAGGAAAGACTTTTGAGAAGAGCTAACACTTGAATTAATCTTTAATTAAAAAAAAAAAGGTCCAGGTGCTGTGGCTCACGCCTGTAATCCCAGCAATTTGGGAGGCTGAGGTGAGAGAATTGCCTGAGTCCACGGGTTTGAGACCAGCCTGGGCAACTTGGCAAGACCTCATCTCTACAATAAATAAAAAAAAAAAAATTAGCCGGGTGCGGTAGTATATACCTGTAATTCTAGCTACTTGGAATGCTGAGGAGGAAGGATCACCTGAGTCCAGCAGGTCGAGGCTGTGGTGGCCGTGAGCATGCCACTGCACTCTAGCCTGGTGACAGAGTAAGACTATAAATGGAAGCTTTATATACATCAGTAAGGTACTGTAATGAATATGCATTCTACTTAGTGGAAATAGCTTTTGAAAGATTGTTGCATCATGGAACCTACTAGATCTCTTTTAACTTTAAACAGTCTTTTTGAATTAAGAGTCTTACTCTATCACCCAGGCTGGAGTGCAGTGGCACGCTCACCACCACTGCAGCCTTGACCTGCTGGGCTCAGGCAGTCCTTCAACCTCAGACTTCCAAGGCTGCGCGCCATCATGCCTGACTAATTTTTGATTTATTGTAGAGTCGAGGTCTTGCCACGTTGCCCAGGCTGGTCTTGAACCCCTGGGCTCAGGCAGTCCTCTCACCTCAGCCTCCCAAAGTGCTGGGATTATAGGCATGAACCACCCGGCTGCAAATCTTTCTGTTAGAAAGTGCTTACAATGTACTAAATTCTCTCTAGGGGTATTTTGTGTGTGTGTGTGTGTGTGTGTGTGTGTGTGTGTGTGTGTGTGTGGTAGTTTATATTCTGAAGAGAGTTTCTGAATAACATTTAGAAATTTTGCTTTAGGAATTATTTTTGATACTCCTTATGCCTCTGCTGTTATTAAAAACACTCACTGGGCTTGGTGGCTCAGCCTGTAATCCTGCGCCTTTGGGAGGCTGAGGTGAGTGGATTGCCTGAGCCCGCGAGTTCGAGACCCGCCTGGGCAGCGAGACCTCATCTCTACAATAAATCAAAAAATCAGCCGGGTGTGGTAGCGCATGCCTGTAATTCCGGCTACTTGGAAGGCTGAGGCGGAGGGATCACCGGAGTCCAGCAGGTCAAGGCTGCGGTGGCCAGAGCGGCCACTGCACTCCAGTCTGGGTGACAGAGTGAGATTCCAACTCAAAACAAACAAACAAACAAACAAACAAAAACCACTCAAGCACTAATTATGTGT